GGGGATGGGATGGGGCTGCGCCGGGGCCGGCCGTGTCGCCGCGACGGGAGGGGGCGCCGGGCTGCAGCTCCACTGCAATTAGGAGGAAAAAATCCGTTCTATAGCTAAAAATCAAGCCGTCGCAATTCAGGAGGCGCGCGCCACGCGCATTGCCCGGCCCGGGCTCGGCAGCCCCCTGCGCGCTTTACAGCGCAGGTTACATTCCCACCCCCACCGCCCCCCGGGTTTTTATTCATATAGAGCCAGGAAAATGCCTCTCTCAAACGCCTTTTTTTCTTGTGTCCAGATCTTCAATAGCCTCTCAGTTAGGTAAATGAAGCTATTCTTTTCTTCTCCCCCGTTTGAGTGCACGTTGGCTAGGTGTCTGATGCTGAGGCTTTTGTCACCCATCGGTACCGAGACCTACCTTTCACCTCTTCTTACTTGCTTGTGTTACATAAATTCTGGCTTTTCCAAGTGAAAGTTGAAAGTTGTAGTAAGTGCTCCGTGCTGTTCTCCATGTAATTAGTGGCACAGCAGAGGGACAGAAGGTTTTCCTAGACATCTTTAAAAATCAAAGGCCAAATCCTGCCCTGTTAGGCTTGTGAATCAAGTTCAGTGAAATTATGCCAAATTTGTGTTACTGTAAACAAAGGCAGAATCCATCCTCAGATCTGAAGACAAAAGGCTTAAAACCCATTAATACAAGTCCCAGCTTAGCAGCCGTATCCTCGGGCATTTTTTGGGCTCACACAGCAGTGATGGGAATAAATGGATTCACTGGCATATTTGGAGGGTCAGGTTTTCAGGACTCAGACCTGCAGGCAAATCACAGCTGTCAGTAGCCCCAAATGCAATGTGTAAGTCTAATGTCCACGATGAGCATCTTTGGTTACAACATTTACCTGCAGGAATCTTTCTTTGAGTAGTATTTACTGTAAAGGTGCAACATAGGTAGTATTTGATATGTGATAAATATAAGTAAACCGTAATTGCAAGTTGCAATATGTTTTTTAAAAATTAGGAGTATCTTGGGATTAACCTCCCATAGATTGGCATTGTCTAAAAGAAAACAAAAAGAACTAGAGTGTAAGACAATTGGAAAGTGCAAATTAAGGAAGATTTGGGGAAAAGAAGTTGCAGTGAATGTCAGCCAGGTGCCCTACTGCTCCTCAACCAGCGGCACTTTGGATCCTGCAGGAAACAAGAATTTTGAAAATTAAAATCTTGTGAGGATGTTTCTGTTCCTCTGACCTTTGTAGCTGATGCAAAATCACGTAACTTTCTAGCGCTGATTTTGAGCCACAGATGAGGTGCGGAGTCCGTGGACCTGTGCAATTTTAGTATGAAGAAAACTCAGCACTTTAATGTCAAATAAATCCTGCAGTCGCAAACAGTGACACCACGGGACCAAACTCCACTCTGGAGGAAAGGGTTGGCTGGGTGCCTGCCGCTGCGCTGGGTGGTGTGTGGGGAAGAGGCATGGCTGTGTCCTCCCTGCCTCCCCACGCATGGACCCCATAGCCTCTTGGGATTTGGCTGGTGGGATGGTGCTTGCTGGGCACCTCTTTCTTTCCTGTTAGGGCCCCGCTTCCTCCACTTGCAGCTTTTTTTTGTGCATTGGGAGAATAGTGCCTGAAATGAAGAACAAAGAAAAACAAATACTCTGATAGTTTTTGCACATGCTGTTTGTAATCAAATGGACTTGTTCTCAGCTCTTGCACAGTAGAGAGAGATGGCTTGGGCGTTCTTTATTCTGGATATTTCTATGTGCTGTTACTCTGCTAGTTTCCATCTAGTTTCTGTTCTTTAGCTTGTAGATGTGAACCACTAATGTTAGTGAGTATCTAGGTGTTTGTATCAAAATCATTAACAC